CTCTCCCCTCCTCTCTCTCTTTCACACACACACAAACACACACACACACACACACACACACACACATGTTCTGTCTGTCATATGCATGCATGATTCTGTGAAAAGAAGAGGAAATTCCAAGTCACATAGTGATATACATCACCAGAGCTAGCTATGGGAAAAGAATTGTAAAATATGGAATACTTTCTGGGCCCAATATGTTGTTATTTGAATTAACCATGACTGTATCTACAAATAATGTGGAGAAATTGTCCATTGAGGCTGAGAAGGGGATTATGCTGATTGTCTAGCTCCATGGAGATTTGCAGCTTGGTTCTGACACATATTGGGATAGCTGTTCCTAGAAAATACAACCAGCTGTCATTGTGATACAACTAATTTCTCTGTCATAGATCATCTCACTGAAATCAATCTGAAGCAATAGACATTCATAAATGACTTCTGTATAGTCTAGAATCCTATATAGGTAGTTCTCGATTTATGACAATTGGGACCAGAAATTCCATTGCTAGGTAAGGAGATTATTAAGTGAGTGTGTACAATTTCATTATTTTTTTTGTTATGGTTGTTAAGTGAATCATTGCAATTAAGTGAATCAAGCCAATTTGGCTTTCCCTGTTGACTTTGCTTGTCAGAAGCCAGCTGGGAAGATTGCAAATGGTGATCAAATGATGCTGCAACATGCCAGTTGCCAAGTGCCTGAATTTTGATCCTATAATATTGAGGATCCTGCAATGGTCACAAATATGAGGACTGGTTGTAAGACACTTTTTTCCTTGCTGTTGTAAACTTCAAACAGTTGCTAAATGAATGGCTGTAAGTCAAGTACTCCTTACACCCACTTACTTGAACATGCAGAGTTTATTTTTCTATAGATTACCACTATTGCTACAAAATTGTCCACATCATGAGCAACTGGATATCTTACAGTTCTTGTATTACTATATATTACTATACAATACATATAGTACATAATACGTAGAGTGCATATTGTTATACAGGCCTCAATCTATCTTAACTTTCAATCTACAACAGGAGCATTTAACTCAAGGCCTGGAGGCCAGATTCAGTCCGTAGGATGCTTAGATTTGACTTGCAGGGCTGCCTTGGAAACAGCAAAGGACCAGCCTGCATTGCCTCTGCCAATGAAAATGGAACTCTGGAGGACCACCTGAGTTCTGTTTTCACTGGCAGAGGATTGCAAAAGGCCATTGCAGCCAAAAACAGAGCATGTGAGGGCTGTGGGCAGCCCCCCCCCCTCCAAGCTCAATTTTTGCTGGCAGAGTGCTAAGGTCACCACAGGTGTCCCCAACATGAGTGATGTCGAGCTGGCCATGCCCACCCTGACCACATCCACCCCAGTTCCCCGAGGTCAAACACAACCCTGATGCAGCCCTCAATGAAATTGAGTTTGATACCCCTGATATACAGGATAGCCCAGAAACATAACTTTTTCATTTTTGATAAATTTGTGATTTCTTTTTTTTTCATGGTAGACGGTATTAATAAAAATACGTTTCTGTCTTATTTTTGGATGGAAATAGGACATCAAATTTTGCTGTTACCCATAATTGGGTGAATTGCTTAGGAGTTGCCCAACATGGGAAAAGTGAATGGGATGATTAACTAAAATGAAGAATTAAAATGAGACTTTTTAAGCCAAGCATAGATAACATTCCACTGTCCAATTAATTAGTCCATGCTCACTCAGGCTTATATTTACTGTATTTGCATGGGAAAGAAATTAATACCACTGCTCAACAAAGCCTCACCTGGGTCATAGCTGAGAATAAGATGAAAATTTTCAGATAACTGCACAATTAATTCTTTCTTCCATTTTAATAAAATGGGTAACAGCTCACTTGCTTGTAGTCCAGGTTTCAAACGGACAGACACTCCATTTTTCCTTTTATTACCATTTGCTACACCTGTTTCTCTGAAGATGACATTAATTAGCAATGTCACCATTTAGTAAAGAGCTACAAAACACAATTGCTTCCCTATTATTTTTGGAACAGTTTATATTGCTAAAGTGGGTAGGATTTATCTAAATCTCAAATACTGCACAATAAATGAAAGGTGCTATTTTATTTCATTATCTTTCATACAGGTAGTCCTTGACTTATCACTGTAATAGAGCATGCCCATTATGTTCAAAGGTTGTGAGTGTTGTTAAGCAAGGCAATCATGTGATCGTCTTGCTCCCCTCTGCTCTCTCCAATGCAGTCATTATGTGATTATGCAAGTTGTTAAGCAGACCACATGGTACTCATGGGTGAGGGGAAGACCTGGGAGCCCTAGTACAGACCCATGTTTACCTGCTTAAGGCCTCCCAAGGCCTGAGACAATCTGTGCTACAATTGGGGTCTTCACAGTTTTTACTTTCCACACTACTGGGTCCTATATCTTTCTCTCTGAAGCCCAGTCACCATTTGCACCATTTGGAAGATCTGGGGAGCTCCAAGCTGATATTGGTGAAAACAGGGGAGGCCTCTTGGCCTCTCATTGCAGCCCCTCCAAAAAACCTGCCAGCTTTTGGGATAGAGCCACATGGCCTAAGGATGTTGAGGAATGACCTGTCCTCCTTCCTTACTATGAGCTCCAGAGCCCCAAGCTCAGCTTCCCTACAGGTGAACAGGAGAAGTGGCATCCATAAGCTTCACGGCTTCATACCAGAAGCTGGCACCATAGTTTTGCAAGCCATCCAGAGTCATTGACAGTGAGTAGATGGTCATATAAATTTTCTTAAATATGAATGCATGAGTTAAATAAATAAATAAATACATACATACATACATACATACATACATACATACATACATACATACATACATTCATTCATTTTAAAAGTGGCAATCCATTGTGGCCACTCCAAAAACAGCACCCTCTTACAGATAATGTCACACAGCCTAGGTATGCCAAGGTGTAGAATGGGCTGTCTTCTTTCCAAAGTGTGCGCTCTGGAGCATCAAATATTTTCCAAAGGCCAGTGCATGATGGGTGACAGGGAATGGGAGGAGTTTGTGGAGCCCAGTGGGATGAAAAGCAGGCAACTAGCTATCAGTTTCTTGGGTGATAATTCCCACTTGATATCACACTCAAATCCAAATGGATATATATCATTACCAAGCAAGTTTCAGGAATGCTTATCAACTCTCTTCCTCCTATGTCTTATTAAGTCAATGCATGCTTTATTAGAGACCAACACTGCATCAAGCAGTAAAAGCAATCAAAGACTGGGGCACAAGCGCTTTCCAACAGCAGGCGTAAGGGTTGAACATTTTCCTGAATTGGCCATTTCATTGAAATATTTGCTTGAATTGGTTAACAAATTGATTGGTCAACTTTTAAGTATTTCACATGTCTGACGAATATGCCATGTTGCTTAAATAGATCCATGGGTGGTGTCATGAACAATATTTGGAGGGGAGCATGAGGGAGTGAAGGGGGAAGTGGGTTTGCTATTGATTTAGTAGCCAACTACAGCCGTACATATACATATACATGCTTGCATGTGTGTGTATATATATTCTGATATAAAAGTAGAAAAAGAAAATGATGTAACTTTTGCTGTTAATCTGGTAAAAGTTAAAAGAACTGGAATGAATATATGCATTTTGCTTTGTACTGTGATGCCAGGTTTTTTTTTTCAATCAACGTATCTACATACGTTTTACATATCTACTGGGGCAATTAAACCAGTTAGTCTGATGAAAGCAAGTACAAACAGCCACTAGAATCAAGCCTTAGCCCTTTGTGGGTGCATTGCTGTATACGCTAAAAGCACAGAGCTTGTTGTATGATTGCATCATGCTGCCTTTGCTGTTTGAATGAAAGCAGCTGGAGGATGCAAATATTTATGGATTTGCAAGTGAAAAAAATGTTGATACACACACAGAGAGAAATGTATATGTGAAAATACATTAGGGAATGCATAGCACTGTTTGCATTCAGATAGTTGCCTGCAAGTTAGTGTTAAGCAATGATGCTAACACTATAAATTGTATACATAATAGTATAAATATGCTGATTAGTATGCATTAAAATTTACTGTCTTTTCCTGCCTCCCTCCCTCCTTTCTTTTCCTTTCCTTTCCTTTCTCTTTTCCTTTTCTGCCTTCTATAGATCTATTTAAAAGTAAGTTTAAGAGAGTTCAAGATGACCTAAATTTACATAAAATAGGCCCTCTGAAAATGTTTCATTGAAGAGAGATAATGATGCTCTTTTTCTTCATCACCCCCCTCCAATATGTGGTAAGTGATCAAAAGAGGCACCGTGGACATCTCCACTGTCCTGAATTTTGCCTTCCATTATGGAAGGTTTCATACTGTAATTATTAACTTTAAATTAGTGTGAAATAGTTTAGATGCTAATGGTTAGTCGAAAAGGGGAACAGAGAAATATAAATAATGAAATACAAATAACCCTCTAAACCCTTTATTGTGTCTTGAAGGTTACTGAAAGGTAAACCGTTATGATCAGAGATGGTATTCAGCAAGTTCTGACCAGTTCTGGAGAACCAGTAGCAGAAATTTTGAGTAGTTCAGAGAACCGGTAAATACCAACTCTGACTGGTCCCACCCCCATCTATTCTCTGCCTCCCGGGTCCCAGCTGATTGGGAGGGAATGGGGATTTTTTAGTATCCTTCCCCTGCCACACCCACCAAGCCACTCCCACCAATCCATGCCACGCCCACCAGAACTGGTAGTAAAAAAAATGAATTCCATAATTGATTATGATGTAAAATTAAGATGAGCGAAACTGTATTTTAAGAGCTCTTAAACACATTAATAATATTTTAAGTAGCTTACTAGATGCTTTAGTTCTTAGTAGCTCCGATGGTGTACTTGGTTCCCCAATTCCAATACCGTTAGCAGCTACAACTCGAAACTCATATTCAACCCATGGATTTAGATCAACTACTGTAGCTGTGTGGGTCTTTCCATTAATGACTTCAGGAACTTAAGGGGAAAAAAAACAAAAATAAAAGGGCTAGAGACAGGCAGTTTTTGAAAACAGCATAGAATGTAATTCAGAAAGGTGTACCTGTTAAAACGGCTTGCCATCCAAGTGAAAAAGGGGTCCTTGTCTGAACTGTGTAGGTGTGGACAGGACTGTTGTTTTCTGCTCCTGATTTCCAATTCAGCACTGCAGTTGTACTAGATACATATTCAATAGTAACTTCTTTTGGTGGGCCAGGAATGCCTTATTAAAACAAAAGATCCATTGTCAACTTCGAACCGAACCTGGCAACAGCCATTTTTCTGTTCCTCAGTTGTCACACAGAGGGGGAAGAGGGGAAGGAGGTTGGAATGCCTTACTAGACACAACAGAGAGCTTTCTCGTGAGAACTAAGATCATCTCTACTGGCAACGGGTAAGGTTGGGGAAGGAGTGCCTGGAGTGCCTGCCACTTAAACCAATTGGCCAGTGTGACTTGTGACCCTTGGGGATGGGGTTATTTTTAGTTTAATTATACTGTAACAGCGGGAAAGATTTAGAGTTGGGTTTCCTTTGAAGCTGTGCCAATATGATGTACTCAATAAAGAAGACATTTGAGAAGGGTCCTAATCTCAGATTTGCTTAGTTTCATTAGTTGAAGCCTTGACATCCATATTATTTTAGCAGAATTGTTTGAAGTTCTTTGCGGTTTAGGGTTTACTGGTGAACTTAGTACTAATGGACCTGATTAAAGAGGATAGTTCGAAATAAACATGGGAATTTCCCTTCAACCATGTAAAGTGTACCCTAAGGGCTAAACATCTTACATGACTACTTATATAAAATAGATTTGATTTCAAAAGATTCTTTTAGATCCAGGCTTAGAATATTCCTGATACTGAGGAAAAACAATACTTGGCATATCTGGAAAAAAAAATCATGCTGACTGGGAGATGAAGTTCAGCAGTTTCCATTGTTAGCAATTCCCCATCATTCTCAAAATAATGAAGTCTAAGCTACACAATGGACTTTTCTCTCCACTTCTTAGGCAAGCACACAAAATGACTCCCTTCTGTTTTTAGCCATAAAGTCCCTTCAATGGTCTTGGGACTGAAAGCAACATATTATATCAGTGTTTCATGGCCTTGTCAACTTTAAGCTATATGGATTTCAGTTCCCAGAATTCCCCAGTGAACAATGGGCTTTGTAAATGAAATAAGCACTACAATCCAAATCTCCATTCCTAGTCGTTCTGCTACTTCCAGTTAATAAGGAATGAACCAACTATTATCATATCTGCTAGAATACATGGCATCCTGTAGCTCCTTATCTTATAATTGCTATCTACAGGATATGTGAATTAATTTGATCCTACAGTAGGAACATAACAAATTAAGTTTTCAAGAGTATATCTGCCATGCACCCACTATCAATGTCCATACCTGTTTCTTCACTAGTACTCCTGGGAGTGGCTTTCTTTCCCAAGCATATCTAAACCATTATATCTAAATCAAATGAAATTTCAGTTTCCCTTTCCATTCCAGTCTTCATTATAGAATTCAAGATTAAATACTTCTTGGCTCTAATATTTATAGGTCAGCCTTTAGGGCAAAATACATTTTCAATATAAAAGAGTCAATTGCCTATAGAGCAAATTTTAATTTCAAGAGAATATATAACAGTAGGTCATATATCTGAGCTATAGATCATTAGTTATACATATTTAATTTAATCAGTTTCTCTACAATTTAATGGTATTATACACTTCTATATAATTAGCTTAATTTTTAGAGTTTATAGACTTACCTCTTACAATTATTTCTGCTGATGCTGACAGAGTGTCCATCAATGTTTGCACAGTGCAGATGTATTTTCCAGCATGATTTAGCTGAATATTTCTTATCATAAGATCTCCTACAGAATCCTTAGATAAAAAGAACACAAGCAATTAATCAGACATGATGTATTTTCCTAATGCATATTTTTATAACGTGCTAAATATTAATGAAGATGTGGTTTTTAAATTGAATTATACAATAGTGTCATCTATTTTTTTTCATTCAGACACTTTTATTACAATTCCCACAAATAATGCCAACAATGAAAGCCAAAGAAACTAAATGGATGTGGCTATGTAAAGCAATAAAGCTTTCATTGAGTAGATTTTGAAAACAGACTCCAAACTAAAATGTATGACTTAGAAGAAACATGCCAATGAAGTGTATTTTGGGTATTACCAGCACACATCTATTTTAATAAGATTTTATCAAGCATTTTTAGAAGAAGGTGCTCCATTCCTAATAGTGGGATTGAGTCGGCTCCTCTTTAATTGTAGAAAAGAAAAGCTTAGATTGAGAATTTCATTGATTACTGCAGCCACTGTTAGAAATTTCTAGAACTATAATACCAGTAGAAATGTGCAACTATTTTTACAGATAAGATCTCAGCTCTATGTTTGGAGGCAATGTCTTCTTTAAAAGAAGTCATAACAAATCTCTTTGAATCTTTGCAAGTTTTCAACTTCTTCTATTTATTTGTTTATTTATTAAATTTATATGAAGTGACTCTGGGTGGCTTACGTAATGATAAAAAGTTAATACAAAATTATATAAGTTAAAAGATGCTAACAAAGAGACTAAAACCTGAGAGGATGGGCAACAGAGGGGTGCGGATCTTCTCTCTACCCTATCAGCCACCCCTAGCATAGAGCACAAGCATTGGGGCCACAGATCAGCTAGCAGAACCAAGTTTTAAGGACCTTCTGGAAGGGCAAAAAAAGGGAGGTAGACCTCATTTCTAGCAGGAAAATCAAAGTGTGTGTGTGTGTGTGTGTGTGTGTGTGTGTATGAGGAAGTAGACTATGTTTACTATTGTCATGCCTTGCCTTTGTTATGGAAAAAAATAAGGGCTTTTCTAAGTGCTCAGTTTCTTAAAGCATCCAAAGCAGACAGAAGACTTAACATTTATAGAAATACTCTGTAATTATAATTTATGCCTGAAAATAGATTCAAAAAATTATGCGGTGCAAAACTTAATACTAGATGCTGACTGGACAGATGAT